TAGTACTAGACACTTGAGGACAGGGGAAAAGTCCAAGAAGATCACCGACACACCCCGACCTCTGGAGATGCTGGAACCGAACGGGTGCGTAGTAACAATGAACGTCACGGGGTGCCAGAGGTAGATAGCCCAACGGGTCCCTGCCCGCCTACCTGCTGGCGGCAGTGCATGCCCACAGGAGCGTAGGGAATACGCTGCACTATCGCCTTGACGCCACCTATCGGGAGGACCAGAGCAGAAAACGCAAGGACCACGGGCCCCAGAACAAGGCGACGCTGCAGCAGACGTCCCCCAACCTGCTGAAAGGGGGAACCATCCTGAAAGGGGGAATCCAAGGCAAACGCCTGCAGGCTGTCTGGCGAGGGGACAACCAGCTTAAAGTCCTGCGCAGTCCAAGCGCTACAGCCCTCCTTTTGCGGCGATTCCCTCTAAATTCGCGTACAATAGAGTAGGCTTTGATTGAGCTAGGTCTGCCGTGCCATGGCCTGGGTGGTTGCGGGGACGGTTTCGAACCCTCCGGTTGTGATCCTGACGTATTGATCACTGGTCAATCTCGACTTTACCGTTTGGTTCTTGGAGGTTTCCAGCAAGTTGCTCTCCGTCTTAAGGTCGTTCCTGTCGTCTCCGAAGCTCTTTCTGCCCCTCTTGGCCGCCGCAGGCGGAGCGTATGTGGCATTCTTCGGATTTCCCCTGGACCTCGGGGAAGCGTGGGGGTTGATCGCTTCTGCCGACCCCGTCCTTCTGGGCGCAGCCGTCTTGGTCCACTATGCCTGCTACTTCCTCCGGGGAGCCCGCTGGCGGGTACTGATGGGCGGCTCTCCTGTGCCCGTCCCGGGTTTCCTCTACTGCGGGCAGTTGGTGCTCCTTGGGTGGTTTGTGAACTCCGTAGGCTGGATCAGGCTCGGCGATCCCTTCCGGGCCCACCTGTGCCAGAGGGAATGGGGAGCGTCCTTTTCCTGGGTGATGGGTACCATTGTTGCGGAGCGTCTTCTGGACGGGCTACTGGTAAGCTTGTTCCTGCTCTCGGCTGGGCTATTGCTCCTTGTGTCCGGTCAGTGGGACGTGGGAGCAGGCGCGTTGGGAGCCTCGCTGATCATCCTCCTCGGGCTTGCCCTTGTGCTGCTGCTGGTCCCCCTGGTGAGGTGGCTGTTACAGCGTTTTATGCCCTCCAGAGACTTTTCTGATCTTCTCTTGTCCATTCACCTGCGGTTCCGTTCCGGCTTTGCCGGCGGCAGCCGCCGTTTTCCATTGACCGCCCTGCTTGGTGTGCTCGCATGGTCCGCAGAGGTCAGTCGCCTGTATTTGGTATGCCAGGCCCTGGGGCTGGAAGTTGGGCTGTTCGCTGCGGCGGTGCTCTCCCTTGGGGGTTCGCTCCTGTCCCTCTTCCCAACGCCGGGCGGCATCGGCGCGGTCGAGGCTGGGATGGCAGGGTTGGCGGTGCGTATATCTTCCGTGACTCTCCCGGGGGCTGCTGCGATGGTATTGCTCGACCGGGCCATCACCATGCTCAGCGTGGTCCTCACCGGCCTGGTCCTGATGAGTGTGCGTACGGTCTTCCCGAGGGTGTTCAAGCCCCGCTTACCAGAACCGGCCGTTGTCGCTGCCTGAGGGTTCTCCATTCTTTGGGGCACGTTGGGACGGCGCGGCCCGTCCGAATACCAGCACGCGGGGGGATTTGCCTGCATCGCCTCTGACGCGGGCCAAGTGGCAGAGACCCAATAGGTGAAGCCCTTCGGCTCGGTGACTCAACCTACTGGTCGGCAATGGCGGGCGCAGTTTCAATAGCGTGCAGGGCAACATGTACGGTCCGCCTAATTCGAATGCGTGGTCGGCAGGGCATTTCGATTGTCGATACGAGTTCGCCCTTTTGAGAATGCGAATAGCGAAACGTCATTGCAATCTCGGCGCGACAGCCCAGCTTTCCCCGCTAGTCCGTGCCGAACCCCAGCCATAGTGGTACTTTTAGAGAGCAATTGCACGTCAGTAACAGCGTGTTCACGCAGCTTTCTGTTGATTGCAAAATGGCAGGCAAAGCGACAACATCACGAGGTCCCAAGGACGACACGGACTTCACGAAGCTCCGCTAGGAATTGGCGAGAGACAATCCCGATCCCGGAGTGGTTGACCAGATAGTGAGCCTGCTGGAATTGCCCTGATTCGGGGCGTTCTGGACAACGGTCCGGCGGAAGCTCTGCGGGCGGCCATCCTGGCCCACGTAGCAGTAAGCGTGATCGGTACGGTGGCGGTTCTGGACTACGACCGCCATTGGGACGATGCCGGCAACTGGCCCCGTGGGGAACGCTCGCCGGGGCACCCTTGCCACGGCGGCGGCGCTGTTCCACGTCACCCGGCTGACCATCCGGCTCGGCAGGGCACTGTCTGCCGTCACCATCGTCGTTGCCGGGATAGGTGGCTGGCAGCATGCCGACGAGAATTACAAGACTGCCCCGCTGGGGTGAGATGAGCGTACCGGCCCGCTGGTGAGCGGGTCCGCCGTCTATGTACCCCTGCTGGCTGCAGGAGCCCTCGTCCTAGTGTTACGTCAGTGTTGTATTGATGGGTATAGGGACTTTAGTCTGATTCGGGCATCCTCGGTGGTGAAGCGCCAGTTCACTCGTATGCCGTCCCGGTTGCGCTGAGCCTGCCACGCTGCTGCCTCCCTCCGCAGGACGCTCCGGTCCGGGATGCGGCGGTCGAGGCATTGCCGGGCCATCACGCCGATCTCGATCTCTGCCATGTTCAGCCAACTGCCGTGCTTGGGTGTGTAATGTATCTCCAGCCGCTCCGCGATGCGCCGCGCCTCCGCCGGCTCAAAGGCCTCGTACAGTGATGACGGATGATGCGTATTCAGGTTGTCCATCACCAGCACTATCCGCTCCTTGTCAGCATAGTCCTCGTCCACCAGTTTCCGCACCACATCGGCCCAATCTCTCCGGGTGCGGCGCTCTGTAACCTCCACCCGCCGCCATCCCTCCAAGGGCGCGAACAGCATGAAAAGGTTGCTCACACCGTTGCGTTCGTATTCATAGTCATAAGAAGCTGCCGCTCCGGGGCGGGGTGGACGGCCCAGCCGGGTCTCCTTCACCTGCTGTTTACTGGTCTCGTCCAAGCACACCAGGACCTCGTTGTCCCGGTATTGGCGGTGATAGACCTCCAGCACATCCTCCATGGCGCAGACAAACTCAGCACTGCCATTCGGCGGGATGCACCAGCATTCTTTCAACCAAGGCTTGAGTTCGTTTTTTTCAGCGTCTGGCGCACCGTTTCGGTGCTGATGCTGTCCACTATCTCGCATTCAACCAGTTGATCCGCCAGCAGTTGCAGGGTCCAGCCGGCACGGCCCTCCGGCGGTTGGGAACAGGTCAAGGCAATCAGGTGAGCCTCCCCCTCACCGTCCAGCTTCCGCCGCCGCCGGTTGAGCTGTTGCCTGCGCCCCAAGGCTGCCTCCAGACCCTCCTCAACGCAACGGCGGCGCACCCGCTCCACCGTGGCGGTGCCCACCTTCAGGGCCTGAGCAATCTCCTCGTCCCTCATGCCGCCGTCAGCCTGATTTTCGTCACAAAGCAGCAGGATGCGGGCATGGGTCTGCTTATAGGCTGCCGCCCGTCCCTTGGACACCAGCGCCATCAGCTCCTGTTGCTCCTCCTCCGCCAGCCCTACCCTGTACCTCTTCACCATCATCCACACCCCACGTCCCAAACTTCCCCTTAGCCACCGGCCTTATGGTACCCCATTACCCATCAGTTCAACGATGC